AGGCACCAGTGTCATCGAGTATATATGATACAGGTGCGGGCCACTTTTTTCATATAAGGACCTAGTCTGAATTTTCTTTACCTGTCACTAGCATTTTTTGCCACTAGAATACGGCGTACGAGGATACACTCGCATTCATGTCAGAGATGAAATTGCTTTACAAAGCTAGGCTTTAGGTCCTGACAACAAAGAACCCAGACACATACGCATTCTTGTGACAGAAGCTTAAGCTATCTATATGTTATCGAATATCATTAGGCCGGTGTAAACCAAGCGAACATTTCAAACTACCATCATTTAGATTTAGCGGAATCATCACGATATATTTAGTTTCTCGTGCGCGACTTGTTTCTGGCCCCCAAATGACATGTTATCTTTCAACAGTCACAGCTTATGTTGAACAAAATTAAGATGGGCCATAACAAAACAGCAAAGCATGCTGGACACTACTATACATAGGGCAATAAGGAACAGGCCCAAACGCTGTGCTCCAACTAAAAGTTTAATTTACACAGAGGACAGGGCTCTCACCGGCATCGAAAAAGGCCACCTCATTGCGAAACACATGGAGACATATATACGTTACTATCCTTCACCCTGGTGTTGTATACCTCTACACGGTCTAAATTCACTAAGCCTATTGGACCTATGGAAGCAAATAATTTCCTGGTCACGCCGCACTTCCTTTAGAAAAAAACATCTTCACACACAGGATTGTGATGCAAATTTGGCAAAAACGAATCTGAAATTGCAAAACAAAAATAGTGAATCCGTAAATAATTTACAAATGATATTGTGACTTTAGCTGTTTTTATAGACGATACTTCAAGCCGTGTATAGATTTGGGCACTAGCTGGGTATTGCACGGTACCAACATTTAGTTAAACCTTTGCTAAACAGAAATAGTTCATTAAACAGATAACATTGGTAATAGATAACAACATGAACGACAAATTGAACAGTCAAACTGGGCACATGATTGTGCTTTATTGATCTCAACGATTACGATTCTGGTACAGATGTCCCACTCAGTGATGACTCAGAAGGTCCAGCCTGGTACTGAAAACAATCAACATAACGATATAGCTTTTAATTCCAATGCGTATCACGTAGCTTATGAGTCATAACCCTGCAACGTACTTCACTAGATATAGTTAAAGACAATTTCGTGAACAACGAGCGGCTAGTGGACTCTGGGAGACGAGTTCCCTTCAAGGCGTTCTAAATGACAGAGCATTACCTTATCCTGAAGCTAACAGTTCCAGATAACGTCATAAGTACATACGCAGCAGTACTTTTGATGATCGATTGACGTCAAGGACCTACTATCTTAAAGCCTCTGTTTTGGCTTGAGAATCATTTGAATCCCTGTTTATGGTGGACACTAATCAAAATTCATCTAGAGTGTGTGACTGAAGATGCCTCATTGTTGAAAATTTTCGACTGGAAGACCTTTGTGTTACATGCGCATGTTATGATACGGTTTCACATAATCTGTTTGCTTGCCAGTTACAATCGATGCTAAGCTTGCTGTGACTTGCGAACCATGGAAAAACCTATCGCGGAGTCCGCGGCAATCGTACCCGTTGCCACTATCCATTTCTCTATGTAATTTTAAAGTCGATGAATGTGGGTCTGTCTATTTGTCTGATTGGCACAAGATCTGATTGCCGAAGCTGTCGCCGATTCCCAGAGCTGCCCATAAACGCGAGGGATTTTGGGGACGGGCAGAGGCGTGTGTCTAATCTGCGTCGGTCGGTCAAATCGCGAGTCGAAATCCGCGAGCTAACTTTGCCTTCATCGCAGAGTTGTGAAGCGAACAAAGCAAAACCGACGCGAATACCGCCGGTGGCACGTTGATGTAATACTAAAACTTCATACGTCTTTTTATTGGTGTGTAACACGAGTTGCTCCGCAGCCTGTGTTGTTCCTCTGAACCGCCATTAGACGAGAGAGAATCGCCAGATAGAAAAGGTTCTCGAATCGGTTGGCAGACAATACGCCCGCAGCACCGTATACGTTATCGAGAACGAGTGGTCGAACGGGCTGTATACCTCTCTGCCGAAATGGAAAACTTTTTGATAATAAACGCATTTATGCTAAGAGATGCAAGGATAGAACCACTGAGACGAACGTTTGCGATAGCTACTGTAAGCTTTACGGAAAACTTGCATTATAAATCTTCTAGGTATGGGATTGTAAAATGGGAAATACGAAACTTTCGTATTGTTTGACAACATATATTTTGAATAGGACTGAAGCAAATCATCAGGTACCTTCGCACCTTGGCCGACCTGGCAACCGACGTCTAAACGTCAGACTTGCAAGAGGAACTCGCAGGCCACGAAGTTTTTCGCGGAACCAGGTTAGCTTGGGAAGAATATTTTGAACTAAGGCCATATTTTACTGGAAGTAGCCTGCTTGTGCAATGGTCAGAACTGCATTGAAGGGGCTAAACGACAAGCTTAGTTAAGAAATATACGAAAACATTCCGCGGTAAAGTCCATTTGTCATTTTTACATCCTAAAGGTATTAACGCATCGGCCTGTAGCATTGCAACTGAAGTGACTAGTAACTAAGATGAAAAGGACCCTGCGTTTATCGCAAAAATGTAGAAGTGCGTACAGGTATTTACAACAAAGGCGGCATCAAGTATCGTAAAACATTTTCAAATACAAACAAGCAGTTATAAACAAATCGGGTCTTGCCCGAAATACAATGGACCTTTTAAACGAAGAATGAGGGTTAGACAAAACAAAAATCGAACATTGAAACCGTTTCAGTGTGCCATTTTACCTTACGATTTATAACGATGCTACGTAATAACCGCAACCCTCTGCACGTGTTACCGAAATAGCTGGATTTCGTTGTTATTCTTCTCGCACTCCTAGCGTATAAAGCAAGCCAGCAACATGGTAATATTGGTATTATTACAATTGTTTGTTTATGTATCAATAGTATACTTTTCTTTATGGACAAAGGGGACCGTGTCCTTGGGCAACCCCCAAGACAGCTACCTGATGTTATAAGATTATGTAGATATTGTAATAGCCTTGTAGAAGAACGGACGCGATGGCATCTCACAGCCTAACGTGTCTACCAGTTTTTATATGGCACCCCTATTTTTTTTTGAGTCTATTGATCAACTGCTGCCGTTATGTGCGAAAAAAAAAAAAAACAAAAAACAAAAAAAACTATTCAAGAATAAAGCTTTTATGAAATTTAGTAATTTAAAAACAAGATGTGGGTAACTGTGGATATTTAAACTTTGACCGGTTTCTAGCGAACTTTTGTCCTGTTTTGAGAATAGTTGCTTCGACATGTTAATGACTTCAAATCGTTATCTTCACTTAGAGAGATTTTGCGTAAAACGTATGTTTGTTCGTTTTTCATTTGTTTTAAAAAGCTAGGAACGGGCTTCGGGTGAGCCCGAGGCGGAAAATGTCTAAGTGAATGAAGAGTGATGTTCTACTTCAGCCGATAATAACGGTTGAAGCTAGCCCAGTTTCGTTTTGAGAAAGCTCTTCGGATCTTTCGTTCGCAGTTTTCTTCCTTTCAACGCGTTGAAACCTTTTCCTATATGTGATTCTCCTAGATGACTTCTCTCGACGGCCTCCCCTGTCATCTGTCATTTCTGAAAGGTTGAAGCTTTACCTCAGTTGAGACAGCGAGAGTACACTTTTGTGTAACCAAAAAATTGAAATTCAATTGTCTAACAATAAATATATTCACTGTCGAAAATAAGCCTTAAATCATACCTAATTTGAAACCAGCTAACGAGCGGTCGTGCCAACGCATGAAGGCAATGAGTCAACGACAGGCCAAAACTTGGAAAAAAATTACTGGTTTTAAAATGAGTGTTCGCGTGAGGCAATGTACGCCATCAGCGCCGTTTCGCGAATAATCATCCTACTTAAATCCATTGAACTGCTAAACGTCGAATAATATCTACCTGGAGCTACGTGTCATCCTATCAATTGTACCTCAACAATCTAAATACTAAAGCAGCGACCCTGCTAAAGCTTTTTGCTTTCCCATTTCTGGCAGATATGTTGAGTGAGTTAATGGCTAAGGAAGTTGTTTACTATTATGTAAATCAATAATAATAATAATAAGTTATAGAAAGTTAGATACGCAGCTAGAATAGAGAGCATGTTTCGGAGCCGAAACAAGCTGACATGGGCCTGCCGATGGCCTACATGAAAGAGGACAGCTCGGAACGACTTTTTCAAAGGCAACCGATTTTTGCAGCGGACAATGACCAGAAGTAAGTGATAGAAATTAAACCGGAAACTTACTGCTTGCCGACATCATTTCTTTTTTGCGACTGATACGTGAAACCCAAACCTTCATATGCTCCAACTGCAAGCCCCCTTATGCGATTTCCACGCTGCGAACTAAGTTTGTTTTTCAAAATCTAGAAGGACTTTATTAGTAAACTAGCCAAGTTGAACTAAAAGCTCGTCCTGATGAAGGCATATTCTATGCATACGCAGGCATGCTTGTGGACGTATTTAAACATTCAAAACTTAAATGCAGTCTTATACTAGTCACGGCCTCTTTCTTTAGCACATCTGGTTACTCTATTGAATTATTCATGGTTATCTCATATATATACCTGGAGCCGTTCTGGGTCACCGAGGGGTGGGCCACCCCTGGAGCGAGCTCGATGTTTTTCTGGAAAGCATGCGAGGCGTGCATGTTGTAAAGACCCCAAATGCTGTTCATCAATTTGCCATTGTAACGAGCTGGCGGGGGTACAGTTGCTGACACTGAAATTATTCGGTATGGTGGGCACGGATGTAAAAACAGATCTTCTTGCACTAATAATATATGTATATTATGCGCAAGTGGTTAAAATATCAGCCCTATGACCAATTTAAATGTGTAAATAAATTCATCTCTGTCGTCAGAAATCAAACATGTTCGTCAAGGATTTTGCCTATAACGAGTATATCCTTATAGTAAGTATTATTAGTTGGTTTGTCAATTGATACGCGACGGATTCAGGGTTAGTTGGTGTGCCAAAAAGAGTGTCTTACCTTTTACCGAATAAGAGCGAATTATAAGTATAAGAATGTCCGACACTGAAAATTCGCCGGCTGTGAACTCAGCACGCTATACATTTCATAGAAAAACTACGACATTTTACTTCGAAATAGCCAATGAAACTAGCTAAGATGCTTTTTGTTGTTCAACTTTGCAGAAGCCAACTCAGATGAAAATCGAACCATACCTCTCACACCTTTCATCGTTTGACGCCTGACACCACTCACCGTTCGCGACAACCGCAAGGACGTCAAATCGAGACTCCATTACGTAATCTTTGTAGGCGTGCTCAGCTATCTCTTCATATACAACCGACCTGGATATTAACAGGAAAACAGGGCTAAACAGGCAAAGCACTATACGGCTTGGAAATAGTCATCACCTTTTTGTCCTGTTTACTGAACCGAAATAATGACGCCTCTGCACATTTGTGAGGATTTCATATATGCTAACATGTCTCCTTAAGCATTTACCATATCGTACATCAGGATGGGTGTCGTGCTCTGAGCAACGGGCGTGTGCTAATAAAATTCGGACAAAATACATCGTGTCCGTTACTTTCAACACGACTCCTAATACGGTAATGAAAATAAAGCCGAAATCAGCAAACTCACAGCATCCGTCGATAACCACCCGGTACTTTACTTATAAGTAGCAGTATAAAATAAGCGCTAGGCAAACAATTGATCCACAGTTGGGCTTCGTGTTGGCGGAGACTATGCGACCGTCGACAGTAAAACCCTAGTCCCACTCTTTGGTCACTTCACTCGTTCAGACTTATAGAAAACTATGTATTTGTCCACTATTTATTTGAGGTACTCACGTGTGTTAACAGCGGCCTCTGCGTTCAGGGCGTTACCGGTCGTGCCACTGGTGGTCTCGTTAGCTGCGTCGAACGCGCCTGCCTGCTTTACATGCTCAACAGCCTTGTACGCCATGACCGAAATCAACGCCATACTCTCGTGATAATTCACGTCTGGAAACGGCGAAGCCAACGCTAACGGAAGCACAATCGCTCGCACTAGACAATTGCCTGCGCTAAGAACAGCAGATGTAATCACGTTTCTAAAATACGAGAAGAGGACAAAAAACAAGGAACGGCATTATTTACAATTCAATAGTGTTTTACATTAAAATTATGATTTGGACGAATTATTTGAATTCTCTGTTCATTTGGAAAAAAAAACTGCTCGAAAGCCTATTCTTATAGAATTTCTATAATCTACACCTGCATAGACAGATAAAAGCGTGCACGTACGAATCAGACTTGAATACTACAATGTAATTTTGCGATCGGTGCTATCACGGTACTAAACAATAATGGATACTATTATTATTGTTTGTTCCACGGTCTAAATGCATTAGCGGCGTGTTAGCAAAAAAAACATGATGAAATTGGAACGTAGCTCAGATCAATTTTTAGGTTGCCATTGCTCAAGAACGCTTTCCGATGTATGGGGTGCTCGCGGTAAACTGGTCGAGAAGGTTGTCTTACCAGTTGGCATATGGGCAAACATCATTGCATGTGAGTGATAGGGGCATTACTATTATCTAATTTACCCTAATCACTACTTTAGTTCAGAGCGTAAACGCTAATAGGTCATGATCGAGGATTCGTTAGCGAAGTTCGAAAAAACAGTAATCATAAGGAGCGCTACTCTGTTATGCGTCGACTCGTTGAAATCTAGTTAAAACGAAAAAGAGAATTCAGTACATTGAAAATGTCCGCTGGTGATAGCTGAAAGCCAAAGAATCAACAGTAGACTACGTACTATACCATTTTGGAAACATGTTCCTCTCTCTAAGATAACCGCTTATTTCTAGCTGAGAAATGCCAAATCGCCAGGAAAAGCTTCATGATTTCGAACGGGGTTCTTCTAACAATATTGGCTATAAACTGATCCTTCGCTAAATTGTGAACCTTCTTTTCCCGTCGTGATGAACGAATGGGCTGTTGTTATGTGTCAAGCATGGCGGACAAATGCATATCCACTATGACAGAAAGCTCACCAAACTGTTCTCCAACTCTGTTCGTAACAGCCTGTCGAGACGACTTCAATCAATGGCGTGAAAGAGAAGCTCTTGCAAGAATTAATCGGAGAGACGTTTTCTGAGAAATGGCTGGACCTTCTAAGGCTATCGTCAATTGTGCCGTCCTTAAATGGCGAGAGTCATAAGTCAAAACCGATTGAAGCGCGATCGCTACAATCCGTCTGCATTTTTCGTCAAAAGAAAGCTAGGCGAGTGTGTCCGCCTATGAAACGACACCACGATCATAATGTTGCGTAGTTCGTATTTAACGGCACATGTAACGGCGTCAAAGATACGTGCAGCAGGCGAAAAATGCGTCGCACAACGCAATATCGTGGACGTACCCGGTCTAAAACAGGCTTTGGAAAGGTACAATCGCCTCACCGACCCGATCCTTCTCGTTATGGTAGAACGATTCTGTATTAATGAGGCCGTGTCAAAGTGACACAGCATTATCGGCCTATCGCCGTTCACATCAATTAGTTGGGTCTAAATACGGACACGTTTACGACTGTCTATTACGACAGGGTTAGAATGAATCATAGAATAAACGGTACGTCTGATAACGGCGTGTCATTTTTTCCATTCTGTCTCTACGATCCTCGTGCAGGATTGTCAAATTCGCCACTCACTGCCCCTTATCAGGAGGCAGTATAACAGCGGACCAACAACATCATACAACTGCTATAGAACGATGCTCACCAATATTACTGTTTCCGAAAACGGGAAAGGCCTAGGACCCCTGCGGGATCTTTCCAAGGCATGTGTAGTAGTCATAGGCATTATTGTTGATCTGTTCGTGGGTCATGCTCCTATCAAAGGCCAAATACCGCCAGCCTGGAAAGTCGAACAAGCTTCATGTTAGACACGAACCCGATTCTAAATGACGCAATATACTAACATAAGTAGTGCAATAGCTCTCTCTTTCTCTTGTCTACGGTGACACGATAAGTAATTAGGGACCTATAGAGGTTCTGCTTTCGCTACTCGTTTCCCTTAGTTATACATGTCACGTAGCAGTGTCTGCATCAGTCGGCTACCATCTGTGATTATAAGGGTTATTTAAGCGTAGTCTGCTTCAGGGGCAAGAGGAATTTTCCTTCTATCGAAGTAGTCTATTATTATTAAACCCATTGATTGCTATCAGTTAATCGATTCAATGTGACACAAGCTAATACAATTTCAATTTAAACTATCTATGCATATGGCTAAAGGGGCCAAGAGCTCTCACTAACTGAGTCAGACTACAAGTTCTGCGGAACTCAACGGAGAAAAAGAGAATGTCAATCTCAAGTTGTTTTCTTTACTTCGAATGTTTGGGGGGTTCAGAGCACATAGTGGCTCGCACTCTAGTTCTGTGAAGTTGGTTGTCCATACTGAAATCTTACTGTATTTGCGTTAAAATTTCAGGATTTTTCAGTTGAAAAATTGTTCTAGTTGTTAAACACACCTACAGTGTTTCGCATAGCCATCGCACATGTCCTGTAGCGCGGGTTTATCTGTAGGACAGATAACCGCGACCATAGCCCCATCAATGCAATGATAGTACCTGTAACTCAGAAACGTTATTTGGTCAGTTCAGCTAAGGTGCTCAAGCAATACAGCTGCTTATTATTTATGGCGTAACTTAGCCGAGCAGTTGGAAATATTTTCTTGATTTGCTCGTCTATCCTATCTATTTAACATAATCGTTTATATCACCGCATAAACAATACTCACTGGGAGGCTTCCTCCGTAACCGCGTTTCATGGCTTTCTAAATCTCGATGAAGAAACGTACAAACAATTCACATCGAAAAGTCTACAGAGGGTAGCTTCTACCTGTACTATCTGTTAACAGGCTCTAATAATAATAAAAAAAAAAAGACCCTTATTCTTAAGTACTCTGAATCCTCGTCAGTATGTTGATTTGTCCAAAAAAATTCGTCAAACAATTTGCGCTAAATTCTAGCCAATACTTTTATATAGTATACAATATTTTAATACTTGTCAGTTTTTTTGACTATAACAAATATGCCCGATACTATTCACAATTGCCACACGATTTTCTTACGGTATTCTCTTCTCGCTAATGATATGGATGATTCGTAAAGAATGGGCTATTGATAAAGTTTTTACCGAAGAGAAAGCTCGAGATGCGTATCATTTTGCAATCATGCGATAATGGAAAAGGAAACGTAATACCCAAGTTCTGTTCACGGTACACACTTCTCAAGCAAATTGGCAAATTCAGGGATAGACGTATCTGGGACTATGGATTTATTTCAACCCTTATTTCCCGTACTATTTTACTTTGATGCCTAAGCAGAAAAAGTCAAAACACCGTTCATATATCTATTATACATTTTCTAAACTGCCACGGCGATTCGTTTGATAGAGATGAGAACTTGAACACCTTTGCCACAAAAACATTGCGTAATACACTCTACGGAAACTCTGACGGCATTACGTAATGTTACATTGTCACGCGACTCCACGTTCATAAGCTTGACCGCTTTAGCCGTTCTAGTAGCTGTACGTAAGCAACAATTTCCGCGGTCAACAGAAGCCATTTGATTGAATCCCGCACGATCTGTCAATGGTACTGTCTATTCCTTATTGTTTGTCCTTAACGATAAATTTTGACGTGCTTGCCGGATTTCACACACCGATGCATCATCACACGCAAACCCAGCCGTTTGTCCTTGTCGGTCTTTTAAGGGGTCGCTTACGATGCGTTTCGAGTATCGTGCTTGCCTATACGTTTAAGTTGAACGAAATCAGAGCTAAGGACGAAGCGAACTGCACCGTGCTTTGAACGTTGCGTGAGCACGAGCATTTCTTGCAGAGTACTTTGGCCGACGGATATTTTCGATTAGATAGATGTTGGGTACGGAAAAATTACAAACATTTTAGAGTTAGAAAAGAAGTTCCTTACGACAGATTCGTCTGCATTTTTGGACCGAAAGATTTCTTCAACTACTGGTGTTAGAAGTTTCCCAGTACGACTAGAGATGACAGAGTACGGCAACGTTATGACGGGATAAATGACACAACAACGACTCAAGTGAAACAATTGAGTAGCGACCTTGCCAATAACCATTTGTGTTTTCAGACCCGTAGCCGTTTTCACGGAGTGTTGATAATGCGCATGATTCCTACCAGGCCTCATACAGTACAGCGCCACGCACATCAGGATACCGTTTACTGACTCGGCTTTCGAAAGCTTTGTCCCGTTTTCAGCGTCCACAAAAGCAAACTGTGCAACTGACCGCAAAAACTCCTTATATTGATAATTAGTGCTAGCAAATTCAACAGAAAGCTTAAACGTTTTCCCAAAAGTCATCGCTAGATTCACTATACAGTGAATCATAAGAACGTTTTTTGTAGGAGCCCCAGAGATGATGGCTACAAGATCTCGAAGGAGATACAACGATTATGACGACGGAGCAGACATTGGCTCTCTACATAAAAAACTTTATGGACAAATTACTACAACGTGCTTGGTGTAAGAGGTGCTGATTCAGAAGATATTTTCAACTGCATATGATTCACGATTTATGGGAAGTAACAAATATTTCTATTTGGAAGCATATATTACTATTATATTTCTATATTATCTTAGTAAAAATTAATAACAGTTTCTTTCTATCACTATAGTTTGTTTCTGACGATTTCTTTGCGTAATGTGGAAACAGTACGGAGTACAGTTGAAAAATACGACCAAAATCGGTAATATCTTAAAGCGGTGATAACAGCACAACAGTCGCGTCTTGGCAGTGTCACAGAATGAGTAACGATATAGTAGACGTAGCAAAGATCTGCCAAAACAATTGCCTACCTCCAACGTATGCCCTCCATGTTGCTTTCGAGATTGACAAAATATCGCTTCTTATTATAGAGACGGACGGAAATCTAGGTGAAGCTAGCAGCAGCTTTCCGTCACATCAAAAAAACCATTAACGGATGCCTAGGCCTGATAAATCTACAATGCCTGCTGTCCGAAACAAATACCTTCCCAAATTAGATGGCGGTGGGTGTCCTATCCGATCTGCTTTGATTTTAGTGATACTGTTCAAACGACCGATGACAAATGCTCGAAGCAACTTCTGCGCCTAACGAACCTATGGAAACAGCCTCTCAATGAAATTTGTCAAAACAAGGTCATTTGTCATAGCAATTGCGGTACACAGCTGCGACGACCTTCTTGTTCATTGTGACCTATCGCCTTTACTAATGTCTATGAGGATGGGGGCTCTTTAGGTCAAGCGCTAAAACCGTATTGCCTTCCTCTGTGTCGCGTCAGAGTGAGTACCTATTCAATATCTAATGCATATAGAAGATTCTCTAAAGATTTTTGAAGTCACTTTGGAAAGTTTTCAGATGAATCATAGTCTACCTGCAATACGGTTTAAATCACGAACCTCGAACGTAAATTACTCGTTGAAGTAGCTGCCTCAATGATAGAAATCTAAAACTGAATGATTATCGAACTATAAGAAAAAAATTGTGCTTATAGATACTTCAATCTGCATTACATGATGTATTTCAATGAATTACATAGACTCTTGGCCAGTTATTCAACAAGTAAGGAACAGTTGTCAGGATATTTGTGAATATTTCTTATCTACTTTTCTCACGTTTCGACACTCTGCTTCTTGCAAATCCCGACGTTTGTTTTGCTTGGGCGCTAGCTTTGAATTACGAGTACGGATATTCACAGCATTTAGCAAATCTATTAGCGATCGGCAACTCCTGTCCAATTTTGTGTACTTGTAATACTTGAGGAGACCCTCAGACAAGATTTAGTAATTAATATGTGTCAACTGGAAACTAAATAGTGTACTATGCAGTTATGTTGAAAGCAGAGATATTTATTTGATTTCATATTTTGAAGCGAAAATTTAAGCAAACCTATTAAAAGGACCTTGTGATCCGTCGTTTTATAGTTATCCAGCATTCCACCCGTAGTTTACTTCGTTTTGTACGTTTGTGCATCAGGGTAGGCTCACTTTGGTAGCGTTCTAGTTTGCACCCCTTTCTGGGTCACGTATAATATTATGACGGTGAATACCTGATTAGCAGATTGAACGCCATTTAGGCCTGTTTTTTTTTTCACACGGAGCTCACATTCGGATTGACTTTGCTGTTCGCTACTTGCTAACTGAAAGTAAACTAAATTATGTGCTTTGGATGGAGGAGAAAGTTCGTAGTTGTGGATGATGGACGGCCAACTGGCCTATCGATCGCTGTAAATATTCTTACTGAAGAATATGCATGTGTAAAAGATCGACTGAACAGGACGATCGAACGTCTCAGTAACTTGATGACGGTAAATATTGAGCATTTCGAAAGTAGACTAAGTTAAGAAAACTTAACTTGGCATAATTACGTTATTCTTACCAATGGACTTTTGGACAAAAATGCGGTTGGTTTCACTATACGTCATTGAGTTGGATCTTAGGCTACCTAATTTTTAAATGGAAATCTCGTCGACGGACAAAAGCTGAAATACTGTACATCACACAAGCGGCTATATAACTCACTGAATGTATGCAAACCTCTCTTCGTTTGCCCTCTTTCGTTTGCAGGTCCCTTGAGTGAAATTTGGGAAGCACTACCGCTTCGAATGATGATCAAACGTTCCTTTGAAATCAACCTAAACTTCAAGGCAAGCACACGAAAAGCAGGTCCCGATTATGCAGGCCAAAAACTCTGCATTGCAGAAGCATTGTCGGTTAGGCATGCATTAAGGATTTACAGCTTTTTTATATCCGGTACGACAAGAGGTGTTTCACTCTGGGACGCTAAAAATATACGCGACTTTAAGTTCACTTTCGAATTTTAATCTAAAAGGGGTTTGCTAATATGGAAAGCTTTAGTAAATTGATAGGCGTAATTAAGCCCCACGTGTAACGAAATTAGTAAACGATTTCTATCGAACTTTATCTTGAGTACGTTCCAGGAGTGGTGGCGAAGTGACGCAAATAAACATATAACGAAATTAAGTTTGCAACAAAAACAATTGTAATATGATGTTGCTTCTTCTCTTATGGTCAGGTCTAAATCTATAAGATCAGTAGTATATTCATTATTCATTTATTACCCCCCCCCCCCCCCCCCCCCGTTAAACCCCGTTAAAACCCCCAACTAGAAATTAGGAAAAAGCTGCAAACGACGCCTATTTGGCTAAACCAGATAAAAAAAAAAACTCAAAATATGGCCTTGTCCTGCTATAGTACGAAAACATCTAAACCCTGTGAGGATAATGTAAACAAAAACTCTAGAAGCAAAATTGTTAATATTTCCTTATCGCCCACTTGGCAGATATACAAAACTTGTCTCCGCTCCGCTGTTATTGCTTTCGACAGATTTTAGGACGAACGGGTGTTTTTACGAGCCAAAAAGCAAAAGCATACATAAAATGAACCTGATAGGAAATTCATACTTCGTTCTTTCGCCCAATCGTTCCGACTTGAGTAGTGTGAACGGTGATTTGACATTGCAGTATGCTCCTTCGTAGTACGAGTTAAATTCAGCTGAAAAAGTATTCAAACAAGGTGTTATCAAAGAAATTATTTTGGCAGAACTCAAAAAGCCGCTCTCCAATCCCATCGTCCCCACCACACCCATTAGTAGTGGCAGTAGTGATTTTCATCACTGTTGAGCTAAATATATAACTGTAGGGATCGTTATGATATTCAAGATTACATCAATAAATTGACGTTTCGGAAAAGGTAAGTATAGAGCTAACATAGGTTTGATTTTGATCGAGTGTGTGAATTGAAACATGCGTTTCTAGGAAAATTGATTCGTAAGCGGTCTCGACATGGCAGCAAAACAATACCTAAGATATTACTAGTAGCTGGCACGTTTAGCTTCAAGCTCGGACAGAAACGTTGGCTTCTTTGAAAAATTCAATGAAAACACGAGCGGTGGCCTAATATTGCTACTTAGCTTATTTAGATGTAGATTAATTCGAAATCTTTCTAGCGAACGCCGGTTAGAACCTAAAGCGTCCTATGGGTCGAGATTAGGATCGCGCAGTTTTACAGTGGCCACCTAACGAGAAGACTATTTCAACTTGCGTATCTTGTATTGTCATTTAAGCATTGCGCTGTAGGGCTAGCAAGACGAAACGGTATCTCTACGTCTCGTTTTGAATTTATTAAAAATGCTGAAAAACTGAGGTTGGATTAGTGAAAAGATCATTGGAGATGATTGATATAAGCGTTTGAAGAAGCCCAACGTTATGCTTGTTAGATAGATGAGATTTATAAGTTAAAATTAAAATAATTATAACAATACACATTTCGAAGTTATGCCCAGTTCAAAATCTGCCATATGGCGCCAATTAAATGAGGTATGACGATGCTCACGTCAGTTTGTTTGAACGGGCTGATCTTAGAAAGATCGATCGCAGATTCGTTGCTGCGGTGGGTGTTTCTCCTCAAAAAAGCTAAGAAGAAGACGTTTTTCAAACTGACTATGTAAAATCGATTAGTGCACATTAGTGTTACAAGTGACCGAAATGTGGTAGACCGACTTTAATTTTAGAATGTCCTATATAAAAAAAAAAAAATCTGGCCTACTTCGCAAACTTGACATTATGTTTCGTGCAAAGCCAACATTACTCTATCCGACAGAATAGATATTACTCCAGTCTGTCAGGACGTTCACGTGCAGCTCTGGGCCTAATTTAATAGCTCCTGGTCTTGTCTACAATTTTGACAGGCAAAGAAGTTAGAGTTGTGCCCTTACGCGGATATCTATCTAGGCGGCAGCGAAGTACAGAATTAGGACGTTATTATGAGGCAAGTAAACAAGGAGTATCAATAGATGCGTGCTTATTAAAAAAATTAAGCCTGGAAACTCAAGCAATATCCGGGAGTGTAGTCAGGCAAAAGGGTGTTTGGAGTGGCCAAAAATGCACGAAGACACAAAACAAATTTTTTTTAGATCTCGTTGTTAATTGACTGCTATAAATAGTAAGTAGCTTCAGAATTCTGTTTTGAAACAAAGCAAAGGAGAAGGTGACCTTAAGATTAAGTTGATGTATGACTACTTGTACCAAAGGACGAGGAATACAACATCACCAGTGAACGCGAGAGCAAGTAAAAAAATAAAAATTCGCTGCTTCAATTCTATTTCGAACAAGAAACAACTGCTAGCTCCCCTTCGCCCCCAGATGTCAGCCTACATATGGCAGCCCTCATTAATGAAGCATAGCTTTCCCATTTTTCTAAAGCTCAGGAGGCAGAGGTCGTTTATGTACATTATGGTAGGAACTCAGCTGGTTCATAAACGTTTTGATTTGAGCTTTCGCATCAAATAGCACTCCCCTACGAATTTAAGGCTTTGTTTAAATTTCGTATTTCGAGAAAGGTGCTAACTTACTTCCTCTAATAACCAGACTAGGATAAAGTATTTTCGCCAACTTAACTTAATATTTGTATTGTAGATTGCTATGCAATTTACTAGTGTTGTATGTTGGGCGGGCTAGTCAATGCTTTGCGGAGAACCAAAGCTGGTCCCAACTAGTGCACGAATGTATGTTATTTTTCGAAACATAACGTGCATATTACGGCCTACCGGTTGTGCTAGGTGAAAATATACTATGCGCAGGTAATGATATGAAATTACGGAATTTACTTATAGAATCTCTATTGCCCTCCGATATTATTCTGTGGACTGTTTTTGTTCTACTAAAATATTGGAGATACTCTAGCGCGCCGTTTTATTGAGATCTATCAAATAAGCCAATAGCTATCGCTAGCGCAAGACACAAATCATACGTACGAACAAACACGTCAGCAACACCTGAAATTGATTCCGCATGAAGGCCATTGTGTAGAAAATTATGTTAATTTTTTTAGGAAAGTCAGCGTCCAGACAGGCGAACTATTCTATTCTGTTGCTACAAACTAGATCGATAGACCGGAGCAACGATGTAAAAAAAAAATTTTTTAAAAAAGACTCTGTAATAACGAGATTTTACAATAATCTCTAACATATGCAGATTTCAGGGTTTCGAACAAACAGGACGATATCGATGTACAAGCAAACCATGCGCGCTTCATAAATCATAGAGAGTTCGGTCTGCTTTTCCTGCCTAATCGTTTTCATCTACGTGTGTATCAAATATACTTGAGACGTATCTTTTAGCGATCGGGATCAAGGTAAGGTATTGTGTTGGTCATGCTGTCGGCAGGAAGCCTCTTGAGCTAGCGAATTAATTGATAATATAATAACTAATACAGGTTTATTATTGGAAACCTGCCTAACTGGAATACTCTGAAGATTAACTAATACATATAGTTACTTCGTTCAGAGGAATGACGCCGAAGTAGATCTAGTAGCTGAAGCTGAGTGGTAATCGAATAGGCAATATGTTATCCAACACGTGTCGTGCGGCTAATACCTATAGCTAGTGCCTTGACATACGCTCGATCGTATATTTAACAAAGATTCACTAGCAGACTGGGAAGCAGGGCCGTAGCTCAAAGTTCTAGACTTTTTCTTAGCCAGAAAGCAATAATAGATGTCGGAGACTCAGTATGGAGAGAATATCACATCGTTTGTGGTATTGATATGCATGAGATGAGTGCGTGATATGCATGAGGAGTGGGCCGGCCTGCGCGCACCCTAAGGTCATCTGATGCCAGCAGCTGACTTGCCAGACCTAAAGGGCCTATCGAAATACGCATATGGTAGTTGTTTTACAGAAGTCTGTGGGCATCGGCCCTTTGCACGTAGTCGTAAAGGTAACCGATGTTTAAGAATTGTGAGTTTTTCACGAAGACATATTTATCATGGGGGCAAGGCAACGCCAAAAAACCAATAGGATGAACAGAATACATAACTGTAAGTTGAAGTACTTCAGTTGTGAGACGGACCAAACCCAAGCAGAGGTGGTGAGCGGATACTTTTGTATAGTTAGCTATGTGGTAAGTTAGTTGGGTTACATTGAGAAAACGTGTCTTACTATTACGACATTATGGGCATTCTGTTAGTTAGTAGTTCGGGATTATAAGTAGCGCTTGCAAATCGCCCCTGAGCTGTTGACAATGCGCGACGCGTATTGTCACTATGTGCCGATCGTATACTAATTGGGGTTTAAAGTGAGACATGACACTGCCAGCGTCGCTTTCACGCCGGAGATACCGCTATGCCATTAAATAAGATCGGGTTCGTTAAAAAAGTGGCATAGAACTGAGCCGTATAATGCCACATCCGTAATTTACAGAGTGCAACAGGGAGGACGCTTAGTGCGCCTTCTCAATATGAGTTCATCAAAGCCCCCACTGTATCCATACAGATATAGTTGTACGAGTGGGAACTCTACCTTCTCCATTTTACGCCAGTACTTTCGTAAAGATATATATATAATACATAAACGGTTGACTGACCAACGTCGATCTGCTCATTTAGCCTTTGAATTTGTGTATTTTAATGTGCCATTTGCTGTCAAGTGGAGGTTTCTTTAGTTGATAGGATTTTTTAGATTGATATTAATTGCGTCAGATGTTTCGGAATGCCATTTCGGGCTAGCGGTAAGGGCTATAGCCCTAGAATAGCTTGCTAACTGTTTGAGACCTCCTCCTGTTTCAGTTAACACCGCTGTCTGAGTCGGCATCATTCCGCCATTACAAATCTTAATATGGCCGTTCTTAGATCACGTTCGTTGATAGGGCTTGTGTCGTTGACTTTGGCAGGTGTCTAAGCTACCGGCTGCGTCGGTACCTCTACTGGCATACAGTAATACATAAACTTGTTTCATTTCAGTCTCAGGAGCGTCGGCCGTTAATGACAACATGAAATAATGTCGGCATAACATAACTAAAGTATACTTGAATATATTCCTCATGAATAAATGGTAAGCTCGTTTCTACAAAAACGCTTTTAGAGAAAAAGAGGGTCCCTTGACTCCGGTTGACATTTGCATAACTGAGTCCTTAGATCTTATTCACACGAATTGCTCCTCAAAGGTTTTTCTCCGACGGGTAGCCATCGCTCACGGTTTATGTCAACTGGGGCTATTCGGGCACGGTGTGCGTTGTCACAAGCAAAATCCCGCTACATGAACTTTGTCCTAGCTATCTCATGTGCTATTAGGCAGATTGAAAAGCCTATATAAAGCCATCTGAGATTTTAAAAAATTTTAGTTATTTTAATGTCAACTAATGTTAGCTGAGTGAATACTTAGATCATCTGTTTACAAGATGGCCGAGGAAGCATGCTATCGATACTATAAAGATCTCCTGAAGCCCATGTCTTAAATCCCGTCTCTTTCATCTGTAACAATGCTTTTTCTAATAATTACGATATTTTTAAGGAATTAAACCCGATGAATATTAAGTGCGTAGTTATTTATTTTGTGCAATAAAAACTGCGAGATTACCGCCATATTTTAATAACGACTACCCTCATTGTCTTTCAAGTAGCCTCAGATCTAGTTTTAATGTTCGAACTAGCTCAGTTACAATGGCCTTTCACTTCGGGGTATTTCCATAGCAACAACTGTTTGCATAGCATTATTAGCGAATAACGTTTCAATGAAACTGTCTCCTGCGTTTTCCAGTTTCTAAAGGTCGAGTGACAACACCATAGGGTTTCTTGTCGTCCCGCACACCGCTTTCAGAAATTGAGCCTTAGAGCTAAAGCATCCTTCCAATCTTATGTATGTCAATCAGACGAAATGCTTTTAACTGTAGGAAATTCTATCGAGAGAATCCCATCCATTACCCTTCAGTACCTTCAGAAGAGGACCACTTTGGCCGCTTCCTAAAAGAGGAGTCACTTTGTAAGGATAAATTAGAAATTCCTCTTTGTCGGCTGTCTTGTAAGGTATGGTGCCTGTGACCATCTCCAGCGTCCAAATGCAAAAGCCTTGACAGAAATGTTTCCAATATACGTATTCATAGCCAATAAGGGTCGATGACTAAGTGAAGATAATCGAATTGAAAAACAAATAACGTTTTTTTGTATGCTGTAACTTCGTTAGAAGATACTCAGATAGTTTCGCACGTTCTGAGCTAGCATCGGGTCGTCCGCTCTACTTTTATACCAAGTTTAGTTCTAATACGCAACGTCCGTACAATCATTGTTGGTCCTAGTTTTTTTCTCGACAGCGCCCAGAACGCATGACCCTTTCCGTACGGTTATATATTGATTATGCAAAACTGGTTGCAAATTGATGCGAAGAGGCCGCGGGAAATTTCAAAGTGTTGATTAATCAGAACTAAGCAATGCCTAGAGTACTGCCATATCTATAGTGCTAGTTTATAGGTCAATTTTCACCGTTAACATTGTGTGAATTCAATGAAAACATCTAACAAAACACAGGTGTCGGAAAGCAAAGGAGAACTAGTACCGAAGCCAAGCAAGTTGAACGATACGTACGATTTTTTCGCGCCGCGGTCGATGATTTAAAGTTGAATTCTGAAACGCAAAGGTAAAAAATTGCCACTCATAAGTAAGTAAGCAATTAGCAAGAATTTTCTCGCTTACGGCAGCAATGGACAGAGTAAATACGAGAGCAAACATGGACATGAGGAGATAGATTCAAACGCTTAGACAGATGAACAAGCAACCGTACTCACCAAATATGCGAAATGTGTTTGCATGGTAATTGTATTTAAGAATATCAGCGATAGAATAATCTTTGTGTACAAATAAACAAAACTAAAAAAAAAAAAAAACTATACATCATCATGGCTTGAAGTGTATATATATATATATATATATATGAAATCGTCGATGTCACAGTCGCAATGCCCAACGGAATGGGAAGACAAACTAAAATAAAAGCTGTATATATATATGTATATATATATATATATATATATGTGTATATACATATATATATACAGCCGTTTGGAAAAACCTTGAGTTAATGATTTACTAGTAGCTTCCTAAAAGCCTAAAAGTAACCGGGGTCAAATTAGCACCGTATTAAATTTTTTTTTTTGCAGAAAAAAGATTACTTCAGTCTACCTGATTCCAAGTTGTCGCAATCGGGCCCTCTATAATTTTCATCAAATACCTTTTTTTCGTTGGTTATGGAATCGATAAACGGTCTTGTATATATAATCGGTTCGTACGTTGATTCCGTTGTGGGCGCTAAGTTTTTTTGATAAGCACATTTACTACTAAAGAAAAACATTCACGAAGAATATAAAATTTGTTCTAGATGTCGCCGTTTTCGAAACGTCACCACTAACTTAGACCTTTTTTATGCAAAGACATATTTGAAACTCCTTTTTTTTCCTATAAATCGATGCTTCTAAATACGATTTCACATTATTTTGCTTTTAGCTCCTATGAAAACTCTTTTTAGCTATGTTTAATATTCATCATCCTAAAAAATGCTCATAAAATAGACCTTTGCTCTCAGTACCTCTGGGCATATCTAATAAATAGCGCTATAAAACTACTGTTGTTCCCACATTCACAACAGTCGTATTTACTTACTCAAAGATAATAAAACACGCGCTCAGTGATAGTCCTACCAAAGCCTTGGTCAGCCTAATTCAAAATCCTTAATGATTTTGAGAATATGATTATCGAAAACTTCAGATTCACTTGACACTTCTGAGTGAACTACTAAGTTTACGTTAATAGCCATAACAGTCTGGTGCCGTGCCCTTGGGCAACCCCCAACTACGCGCTCTGGGTATAACTAGAGCTCTCTGATACTATCGTATTTAGTTACTTAACTGTGAGTCACAAATGAATACTATATAGGACCTGCAGTGTGACATATAAAAGTATACTGTTAATGTAAAGCCATATATTCATTAAGCTTACAACTATAAGGCGAAAGGTAAGTCTAAACAGAAAGCTGAATGTTGTTTTTTTCGTTCGGGATCATCATGACTCGTAGGGCACTACACAGCGACCCCGAGAAGAGTTCGAGATTTGTCGTAACATCGACCATAAGTAATTGTTTAATAGTGTATAGTTGTTAGAATTTGCGAATACACGTACATTATTGAAATATATATGTATGAAGGCTTGTAATTATCGGATGCGTTAATCGATGACATATGCAGTACTTATATAGGCCAATGGTTACATCGGATACGTGCAATATGCACGTTTTTCGTGCATGACATCCGTACGGACTCAAATAAAGCGATGTCTCCTTCGACCTATCTTAGGGTTGTTACTGGAGCTATCCAAGCCGTGTCGTTGCATTTTTCGAAATAGTGACATTTTGCAGTATTGAAGGCCGAAGCACGTCATGGTCTGAACGAGTGGATTAATTATAGCCGCTTCGATACAATATGACCCTTGCAAGTACCTTGCTGTATTGAGCAACAAATAACTGATGAAAAATTACTTTGGGAACTTTATTTAGCATCGCTTTTGACGCTCGACTCGTTCACAAAGCGGAAGTATTTGGTCGAAAAGAAACTTTCACCACCTGTACACCCAACATAATTTCCTTGCCGGCTATTTTATCTGGCATCGGTTACATTTTTTTTTACAAGTTTATGTCTACACATATACGTAGACGTGAATCATAATCGTAAAAGAACGGGCGTAACGCTTTTTGTCACGCTTACGTATCTCTTATTGGAGTTAGACCGCTGCTGTTGAACAATCAATGAAAGAGCGATTGGGTAGTTCGCGATTGGGTAGCGGCATCAATCTAAAGCTCCTCCAAAAAAATGCTGCTATATCATTAAGTACGCTAAGGACGGGAGCAAATTTCGAAAAAAGCAAAAAAATTCCCGGCTGCTATCGACGCTATAACATCTAATACTCCATCCATAGATAGTCCAATTAGGCTACAATAAAAGTAATACTTTTAGAACTTAGTTGTTGTAGACACTTGTAGAGCAATGTGTCTCGTTTAAGCGCTATACTACAACTATATCAGGATCCCCCGCATTTTCGAATGACGACGCACTGTAGCACAAAGACGCTTGACAATTTACGTTTACACACTGAACGATATCTTGATGATCGGGGTGGCCGGCAGGCTTCGTGACCTGGAATCGACCCACAGCCCAGTGTCGTCTTTAAGTGACTTGAACTTCTCGTAACTAGCTATCGTAACATCACTGCACCGACTATCCGGACTATCTTAGAGCATGGTCCCCATCGTGTTACGGCCAGTTTTGCCAATTCTGTTAGGTAATTAGTAATGAACGACTGAATTAGTTACGCGGCAGACGGGTAACTTTTTTGATTATATATAACAGTTAATTATTGTTACGCGTAAGTTACTTGGTCACTTGAAAATCGTGCGATTCGAAAAAAAAGTTAACTGGTAAATTTGACAGTGTTTAGCTTTTTCATTATTAGGTACATCATTAACTATTACTAACAAGCGTAAACATAGTCCAGAATGTTTCTACTTGATTACGAGCCATCAACGCTAATTTAATGTATTGATTCTTCCGGCTTTAGCAAATAGCGTACTCTCTCTGTACGAGCAGGAAGATCGCTTGTTTTCAATCGATTAGGTCGTCTCGAAGCAACTCTTCATCCTCGTCGAAAACTGTTTCAAACCGTAATCATATTAGATGCGCATCTATAAATAGGTTAACAGTAGCTTTTTATTGCGAGATTGCCAGTTTGATGGTATATAATTTTTTCATTGATATTCGGTTTTCCAATTGGCAGCTGGGCAGCTCGGGTAATTATCTAAAATATTATACAAATAATGTGTTACGAGATTCACTTAAGTATACCTCGTTGGTGCTCTTCACCGGTAAGACCAGACACCAAATTATTACTCAGACAGTGAAGGGGCTGATGTCTTGGCATGAGACAATTTTATTGAGATTTAAAATTTCTTCTGGATAATACTAGACCTAAATGTCGCTGGCTTCGGTGAAACGAGGTACGTTGATCCTGTAATATGGACGCATTTTAGTCTAATTGTTGCTAGGAACGATGCCTTAATAAGTTTATCGTGAAAAACGTTTCCATACAACTTTATGATACATCCGCTGGGCTCATCGTTCCGTCAATTAAAAGGTGGCGTGCGGCCGAAATATCCGCTTAAGACATTACCGCAGTAAGAAGATTACACCTTCACCTTTTCATACAATATAGCGAAGTGAATTTATATAGCAAGATTGAATACGTAATTAAAAAAAATGTATTCTAGTCATAATCTATAACGTATATAAAACTCGATGTTGATATAAAAGAAGCTCACGTGATATTTCAATGATGTCCTCTTCGGGCTGGCCTCCTCCCGTGTGAAGGATGACACGCCGCTCGTTAGGTCTAGCGTACGCGGTGGTAAATCTATTGCTATTGTCGACTACGGTGAAGCTTCGTCGATTAGTTGAACCTAATGATTCACGAAAGCTCGGTGATGGTAGCTGTATTGAGGATAAAGATGTAGAGAAGCCCACACTACCCCGCGGTTCAATTTCGTCTAAGGCTCCTGAAATAGCTGAGGAATGACCCAGATTCGAGCTACTCGATCCATGCGAAGATGGAGAAATGTGGTGGTCATTTTTAGTAGAACCTAGCAAGTTGATGTGGGTTAATGAAGAATCTCTGAATAGCCGGTCCTCCGGTTTCGACAGAGATTGGCCAAATACCCTTGAAGGACTTCCAGGCATTTGTAAATTTCGCCCTCGAAAGCCGTGGCGGTTATTACGGCCAGTGACAGAACTCGAGATTGCTTCCGAATTTTCTGGTCCTAGACAGAACGGCATTTTCAAATTAGTGATTTTATGATGCAGACCGCGAATGTCTTAGAATTATCTCTTGTCTTTTACTTATGATCTATTAAGCTGGATTCGGGATCATAAAAATACGTTTGAGTAACCATAGATTTGATTGGGATGACCTTTCGGTAGCTTAAATAGTAACAGGCCTTAATTTCTAGAGTCAACAGCAACAAGCAAGTGACCGTTATACCGAATTACGTGAAACAGAGAGGCTAGCAAAACGAAGTCCGTAGCCTCTAAGCACGTCTAAATTGAAATGATATTCTTGCAGAACGGTAGGCTGACCAGAGTAGGCAGAATGGTCACTAATACGAAGAATAGCCCAACGCAACTAGCGTTTTCTGCCTCGGGCGCCATACGCGAAAAATCATTCTAGTTATGTTGCATGTGTTTCATCTCTACGCCACCACAAGGAACCAGAACGTCAGCGGCGGTAAAAGATCTCTGCAGCCGATGGACATATAAGCACACGGATTGCAAGTATTTGCCAGACCGCTGAGACATCGCCCTCGTGCGATAAAAACATATCTAAAAATAGAAACATGTATGATAACAATAAACATTTTTCGCATATATCATTATCATACTGCTTTGAGCCAGTCAGGGTAGTTAACAGGCAGGGCGTATTATGAATTGGTCATAAAAACGATATTGTACGAAGTATTAGCTATCTCGGAGTACGGAGAAACTTTGGACAAGATAGACTCGCACAGATATTGTCTTCTAACTTCTAGCTACTCATTGCTCATAGTTTTTCAATATTTTTTTTTTTTTTATTTATTTATTTACATTGTACCTACAGACTATCATTAAGCTCGTATACGTCATTATAAGCTCTCGTAAATATTAATCATGGTCGAAAAATTCGTTATTCTTACGTATATATAATTTGTGAATACGCTACAATTGATTTCTAAAAAAAAAAACGCAGTTTCAATTGTTCGAGCCCAGATAGGTCTGTTCTCTTTTTTTAATCTGGTGGCACAAATGGTAATATAAAAACAATAAAACGATTACATAGTGCCAAAAAAATCGCCATTTGTCAAAAAGTAGAGGAGAACATTTGTCCGACGCAGGCGATTATGCGCAAATTAAAAGTGTAAACTTTTAGATAACTGTCTCAATAACTTGCATAACCCCCCAAAAAGTTTGTTGAGTATTAAGGAATCTATCGATCGCCTAATAGTTTCACCGTACCTAATGAAGAAGGCTGTTAAATCTATAATTTCACTAAAATATGACATCTCACCAATCGAAAAGTCATCTTTATATCTATAAATGGTAGATACATGACATTATCGAACCTCCGAAAGTTTCTAGTCGTTTCTCCAGAATAATACCAATGCAGAAATTGCTTATTTACAGAAAGAAAACCTTTAAACAGACACTTAATTTCAAGCGTTACATGCGTAACGTACAGGTCAAATCAAACCGAATTGTTCTGTTGAATAACGGGAACGTACTATTTTAGGTAGAAGTGTTTCTGTGTTTCGAATAATACGTCCAGTATCACCGTTAGGCATAAGAGGCTCCCAGCACGATACGGCACCTGTTTATGCCGGGTTGGAATTTAGACCACAACGTATTCTTAAAGTTAGCAGGTAGATACGTTACCCACTAATCTATCGCGGTGGCAATGTCTACCGATCGTTTTCAACCCGGAATGATAACAAGATTAAGCAGAACACAAAAAAAAGTGGCTCGTTGAAAATTCATAATCCTATTTACTTCTTAATACATTTTACTTGACTTAAGAAACTAAGCAACGAAATGCGTTCGGATCCAAATGTGTATCACACATAGCACAGCCGTTTTATCTATTGCGTTTTACTTCGACTATAGCCGTTAGATACTTTCATTAGACGATGGCTCCCGGCACGAAATGAAACTTGTCCACGGTTCGAACGAACCTTCACCACAGTGTCTCCCTAAGATTATCAACCAATATGTTACAGCAATACAAACCAGCACGAAAACATACAATACCTATAGAAAGTTCACCTACAGAAAAGGACCGGATTGGTATCATGCAACTCCACCCACAATAATTAATTTAGCCTTATATTTTGCTACGGGCTTGTCAACAAAAATTAGTCGTACGGTTTTTTGATTTAGTATTAGCCAACAGACTAATCGCAACTATTATACTGCCCTATAAAAGGGCGGTATATACACTCAACATCTATTAAGTACAGCGTAATGGTCGTCAGCCGTAGACCTTAAAGGATGTGTTACGAAACGCTGATAAAGGCAGTCAAGTATCCTCCCCTCCCTGAACCCCAACCGTTTTTACAACTGTAGATATTTCCAACTTGTTAGCTACCTTATTTATCTTGAATCGGAAACAAATTACCTAGTGTCTCGTGATAATGTCTAATTTCCCACGAGGGACGATCTGATCGACATGAGTTGTAATATATCTACCAAACGAGATTGTATACAAAGCGGTAAACTGCTTCATCTCGAGAGAATTGCTTCGAAGTTCCTTTATTCCTCGAAATGAGCCTCGCGAGTGAAATGGCTGATTTGATTTATCAGTTACTATACATTTGGAAATGTATAGTAACTGATATGAAAATAAAGGTCGCATCTCGATTGCTGTATAGTAAAATTATAAAATTATTGTACGTACATAATACGAAAATAACTACATTAAGTAGATAAAGCCTTCGGTAGTTTGTTTATAGTTCATATTATTTTGACAAATACTTAATAATGAACCATTCAGAAGCTCTGATATGTACCTGAGGAGGAAGAACTGCTGGCCAGGTTTATGCCTAAACTTGGACGACTAGGGCCGGAAGATGCGGTCGCGTCTGGATCAAGCCGGATATTTGCACGTGAGATCGAGGTGCTAACAGATCCCGGGCTTTCGCGTGAACCTGTATCCAATCCGTTACCACTTATGCTGAACCCAAACGATCCTGGGTTTGTAGTTGGAGAATTATTCATGCTTGTATGGAATGAAACACTAGCCTCATTGGTAGAGCGTGACGCGGGTTGATTTGTTCCAAGATTATGGACCGACAAAGAAGCAATGCCTGATCCTGAGCCTGACATCGGTGGATTGCCGCTATTTGTATGGGGGAAAAGCGACGCTCCATTTGATCTTCTAGGAAATCCCAGTAAGGATGAGAATTCCAACTGAGTCGGCGGCAAAGTTAAAGGTATAGCTGGCTTTAGGATACCTGAAAGTCAATGTTGCAATTATACACCTATAGAGTAGAAGGGCGCGCCTTATGCTCAGCTATATCTATTACGCTACGAAACCTATTACATTATAATACTTTAAATGCAAAATGACAATATTAGGTTGACATGGTGCAATAAACCAAGCTGTGTATAAAACTGTCATCTATCAGCCAACATTGTGGAGTACTTGATATTTTGCCTTTCATTTTTGCAAGTGGAAAGTAGCTGTTTGTTCCTGATGGAAATCATGTTCAACACTTTGTCCCGGTAGTATTAACTAGCTTATAATGGATGTATTAGAGGAAGCTTCTTCCTCTAAAGTAAATTCGTTTTTTTTTTTTTTATATATACTAGCATACAAACGTAGATTTGGAAGGTAGGATGAAATTAAAGCACCTGTACCCGTTATGTAACAGAACAACGATTGCGTACCCGTAGTTGGTTACCAATGATGTGGCAGTGAAATTGGTCCAATGTAAGATAGGGCAATAGTAAACATGACCTAGTTATATTTATTTCATGTCGTTTATTGAAGCTCCGTCTTTAAGGAGCTCATATAGTTCCGAATAAATGGTAATTGACAATCTAAGCCATGGATTTATACCTGAGAAGGTATAGGATCCGACTTTAAAAAAACCCATCAGCCGTATATGCTTTCTTTATTTTAGGCATGTTGACGCTTTTTTTTAGAGGAAACATAGGAGATTTCTAGCGTATGAATACCAACGAAGAATAATTTCTGCCGCTTTTTTACTTCGTGGCGTCGCCTGTGTACGAAAGCTTGTTTTTAAAAAGAAGCTTTCACCTAACCTGGGATTTTCCAAAGGTACATCAATTTGGCCACGAATAGTTTTTGCAATACGATAATAAGGCTAAATATATGAGCTTTCAACCGAGTCTTTCCTATCGAAAAGAAGAGGCAGTAACAATAAATAATCTAAAATTCAGCATAAACAGAGTCTTAGGCATTACAAAGGCTCTGAGTCTAGCGCTTATTGTTCTTTGAGATAGAACGGTACTATATATAAAAACCACACACCCATAGAGACAGCCATGTTTTCAGAGCGTGTGCTCAGCCCGACAGTCTTATTTTCAGATCCTTTGTGATCTGGTTAGTCATAATCGAAATTCAATAGCCCTGCGGAACAATCCTTTCAAAATCATTATCGTCTAAGGTATATATTTAGTTCAGTATGTATCTATCCGATGTTTTATATCAACAATTAATTATCGCTTCCCACCCAACTGTATAAAAATAGGATATTTAGCTTGCGATTGCTAACACTCTGCTTATTTGTGGCAAAAGCGCCGACAAAACCTGAATTCGACATTTCGCGATATAAGAATACTCTTCTTGAGTAAAAAAGACATCGTTATGATGGTGAATTATTGGTAGTTAAACTCCGGTGATCGTTTTGCTGATTATAAGTTTCTCCGCTTCCTTGTTAACCATATCGTGCCATGTTGTCCATCATACGAATGTCAAATACTTTATCAAGAGGCTCTGAATAATAGTTGTCAAGTCATTGTCAATATTCTAATCGACACTTCGTGATCAGCGGTCGCTTCCTTAAGATACTTACGACGCTCCCCTGGAAAATGCCGCCCCGTTCACGTCTAAGCGCGTTACGAGCATGCCCCATCCGTCTGTGATTTGCGTACCGTGGTACGCTCTTCACAATCAATAGGCGTTTAGCCAATACATGACATTAACTCCGAACAAAAAAATAAGTTTGGTACATACAAAAGAAACGTATCTAACAGTATTCATTGAGAAACTGATCTGTTTCATGAATCATCTCCGTTCGATTTCGAACGGAAAGTCTGTAGGACAGTATTAGAGACTCTTAGAGGCTGTATATACATATTAAATCGAAAAAAAAAAAAAGGATCATTAACGCACGGCAAATATTTTGCTAATGTTTCACATCTTTTTCTGTTCATGGATTCTTGGTAAGCATCCACTCATCAATAAAGGTGATTCATAAAGGGCGTAAAAAATATTGCCGTACCCGATGAGGGGTACATTCTACTATGACCGGCCCTGTAGATCGTAAACAGCTGAAGCCAAGAAGAATAGCGCCGCAAGAGGGTTCCAGTAAATGATTGCATAGATGAAATAGGCAAGCTCATGTAAAAGTATGAGGTGTATATTTTATAGCCCCAAATATATTTAAATGAACATGGTAACTAACATTCTCATAATAACTAATACGCTTAGTAACTTGCAAACTTGTCAATAGAGAGTTGCGCTATGATGTTTCGGCTTAGGAGGACACACCGCTTGAAGGAGCAATAGCGTCATCTATAATCGATAAGAACCGAATTGAGAAGTTAGTAGCTAACTACCTCTGTAACTAATATCATGTAATAACCAGGAGACGTTCGTCTGCTGGTATATACGGCTTTACAATATAAATATACGATTCGTTTTTTACATATAGACTATACTCACCATTGATCGCATTGAAGGCCGCATTAACAGCTTGCATCGGGTTGAATAAGTTCGCAACGTTGTTCCCAAGAGCTGAAAATGAAATCTGTTATAGGCTGTTTATGCAGACTTGGTCATTTACCTAGCTAACTTACTGATACTTCATCACCAGAAATACCAAATACCGTTAATTCAAATTAAGAATATAATTCAGTTACATTATACTCAATGAGCGAAGTGAATTTGCTTACTGTCTCATCTTTATCTCGTCTTAATTATATATTCTGGTCCAATGCTTCAAACGATCGAAGATCTTGCCGTCTCGTATTAGTTGTAGATACATGTCTATAGATCTGGTCTCGAAAAGCAGAGTTGTAATAAAAACGTGGATGGAAACAAATATACTTACCTCCGGTGAGGTGGTTTATGGGGTTGCTGCCCTGAAAACTGAAATCCATCCTGGGCGTCAATTCACCCTCTAAATGAGCCTTCATCTCTGTTGCGAGAACGATGATGTCGTTAGATGGTGTGTGTGTGACGGAAAAGGCGGAAAATAAAGCACAGACAGGAAGAAGTCGGATAGTCCTTTGATCAGGACTCAATACTTAAAAATGTTTGCAAAAATAATTCATCTTTAAAATGTTTTGCTTAGTAAACACACGCCACTCTCTTTCGAGAGGACACGCTTTTTGGCAGTCACGCAAAGCATGTCTCATATACGATGTACAATTCACCGAAGTTAAATATTTTCTGCAATATCTTCATATGCGGTATAATTATTATGAAATTCGTATGATTTTGTCTACATTTCATCAAATGTTGCATACCTCTATTTAGGCGCTTAGGATCTCTAAAGGATTTTTTCGATACGCTCGTAATTCCATTTTCATAAAAGTCCTCGCACCTTTGTTAAGGAACAGGTTGCTTATCAATCCGTTAATTAGGATCAACCTTTATTCATCGTTCTGATTGTCCTATATTACGACTACGCATCTAAAGATGAAGACATTTAAAGATATATATGTACGCAGAAATAAATAGCTTTGAAAGGCACCTTTTGTTGGCCATGCATGTTTCTTTTTAATATGCACGATAAGCAAAGGGTGCTTAGCATTATGCCCCTGCATGGTATGCGACCATTCCACAGCAATCATTGATTTTTTCTCATGTTAACATAGGTAACACAAAAACAAAACTTTCACTTACGTGCAGAGAAGCACGTCTGTTGAATAAAAATCGCCACTAACAGGAGCTGGGACGGCCACATTGACGACAAAGCTGGCATTTTGTTGTCACGGTTATGGCCTAACTCGATCCAAATCTCAGACACATATAGTATATGAAATACGGACACCACTTCGTCTGCCCTGCCTCACTCAGGACTCAGTTCAGGGCTCAGTTCACGGATATTTCTGTGGGATATTCGATACGATACAACCTTTCGGCGCACGTGTGTTAAACAGATTGGATCGTAGCGAAGGATGGATCAGTTAGCGTCATTGGTCCGTTTCGTTCATTTGTAGAAGAGGAGAGACAGTCGCTCATTTTTAGCTTTTAATTTGGGAGAAGGCGTTTACTAGGGGTTGGAATAGACTCGGAATACTCTCAGTAGGTGGCACCTGACGCAAGTGTCAGGTAGGGGTGTCAGTAGTGAATATCGAGCTCTCAACCAATCTAAACGTGTCACGATCGGGTCGTCGACAGGCGAAAAACATACACGATCCAATCTGCGCGCAGATACACATACATACCAACGCCTACAAACAAAAGAAACGTAACTCACCCATAGCGGACGCAGGAAGTGTTTCAAAGTGCGTCTTCAATAAGGATGCTTGAAGCTAGGCAGGGTGGATAAATGACTGAATAATATTACATCGAGCAGCCGTGTTTAAGTGGACAGGGATCATTTAGAAAGTGAGCCCAACTCTACGCTGTTGTTAATGTCTTATTGATTGAATGTAATTGGTAATTGTATTCAGCTAATTGGAAGATGGACTCTTCGCAATTACTATGCATCTGTTTTACGATGCATGCGATATATATATATATATATATACATTTTTAATAATTAACATGATATTTTGATTCAGTATAAGTTATTCATTCTTGGAGATTATCATGGTTAGTTGAACATGTGAACTTCGGCCATAGAATTACTTTAGAAGGAAGTAACTTAGCACATATACGTAGCATATCATGGACTTGAGATTATACAAGGAAACCTTTTATTAGTATTTGTGGCGATCACTGTCAAATTACTATCTTCTGTGTTTGTAATAGACGGATCTAGGGGTTACGATCCGCGTACAGCGAGCTAGAATGCTTTCCGAGATAAGCAGTTTCTGGAGAGAACCTTTCTATTAATTAGCATTTACGTTGTTGTCATCTATTTATATCGAGTAATGCTATAGGGTGAATTGCATGACCTAGTTTATTGTGGAGCCCTGAACCACCGAAATAACAATAGCGGCAGATAAATGGCAATCAAAATAGTGCGCAATGACAGGCACAAACATTTTCGACAACAATTCTGACCACCGAGATAAAAGGCTATGCGCTCTTAATAATAATGTGTAATATAAGTAAATAATAATCAGCAACCTCCTACAATCCCCATGGCATCCAAACAATGCATGTCCGCAAAGCGAGCTTTCCTAGCTGAAAATAAAGGAGTCTCTGTCATTTTTTATAGATTTAACGCTATTCCTGTATCATAATTCCAAGTACTTTTGCTAGAAGTAATACAAAACTATCTTTGTTTGCATAGATTTTGTCATACATTCGAAATGACTGCAATAATACTATATAACCGAAAAATAAAAATTGAAGAATGAGAAATATCAAGCAAACGCATCTGCAACGATAAAAGTAGCACGTTAAATTCAAAAACTTTATTTGTTACTCGTCTGAGACGAATCTGGAAGATGGAGTACGTTAGGCCTCCTCCCCCCCTCCCCCAGGCTGATAATCAAGAACTTCTCAGTCATAAACGAAGGCAACCGAAAAGGGAACAAGAAATACCAAATAGGGAAGTTAAGAAGCACTAATTAAGATTGATCTCGGTCGCCGCCAATTTGGTCTCAAACTGTTGTTGACGCTAAGAAGTAATCCTCCCGAGTTGGAGGGAAAAAAGTACCAGCGTATGATCCTGCTTAACGTATGGCACTTGAGCTTCGTATCGATTTTGACCAATTCTAAATTAACACAAATTTCTTACAAACGGATAAAATTGTACCTGTTTCTGAAAAAAAAATTCGTGAAATTGTAATTCTTGTTTTGTTATGTTTGTCTTATTAAGGGTTCTGTTAAGCGACGCGTTGATGAAAGATGAAACAAATGATTTTGTTTTGCCTAGCCGTTCTACCTGACGAGAACAGTCGGTAATAGAAATTAATGAAATTAATAGAAATCAATGAAGATTGTGCTTTATCTATTATGACTTATTATCAAGCACGCGTAGTTGCTTCCCCGACTTGAAAGCTACTGGGCAGGGCAAGCCATTGTCCTAGCTACCCTATAGGTTCTGAACTAGAATTCGTTTCACGTAACGTTCCATGTATAGTGTTAGCGGATAGATATACACAAAGTCGTTATCGTTAATGAAACACACTGTATTAGTTATATTCAGTATAATATACGAATGTTTATTATTCGCGAATGCGTTCTATTACGAAAGGTGCATTCGACTGCAAAAGGCACTGTTGTCGTTACGTTTTTTTTAAACACTTCTCGTTTTTGTTACTTGCTGAATTTATGTTAAAAAAAAAAACGAATAGAAGCCATTATGTAGATGTTAAATCTAAGGTGTTTAACGAAATAGGCTAGTACGTTTGCTACAGCCTGGTCTTAACTTTATACAACTTCGTGTCATTGCCATATTGATACGAGCAATCCGTAGCGACAATCGGTGTTCAGCATTATCATTTCTGCAAGACAAAAAAAACTTCAACCAATACTACAAGCGGGATTTTTCTATTATCCTGGTTATGTTCAAGCATTGCGTTTGCTTCGAGAGTGAAAATAATCTGCGCAAAGTCTGCAGGACCATTTTGGGCGTTGAAGGCCAAGGTTTCGTGCGCCTCTGTGATTTGGACATGTCACTCGAGAGGCACAACACGTTTATTACTTTCACAACCAGCGTAGATCCGCTGGTTTTTTTTTCCGATTAGACGATGGGTTCTGCTTTTTACGTCACGTTACGTTTATATTGCATAAAGCATTATCAGAAATCGTGATCACGGCACTGACAGAGAAATTACAAAATTTATAGATACTGCAAATGTACAAGTTCATCGCAAACATCGCCTGCCAATAATAAAGTCGATACATAAAGATGAATCGGGCATCCGTTTCGCTTGGGCTTGTTTGTCAGGATAGTAGGGGACAGGCCACGTTCCGTTCTCGAACGTAGACTACGGCCATAGTATCATTTTGTTAGCGACCAAGTTTCGAGAGACATCAGTTACTGTGGAAAATGACGCGATAATACAAACATATATACAAACGATATACAAAGATAATACAAGATTTGTATAAGCGAGTCGCAATCAAAACGTGAGGTACTGCTACGATTACGATCGTTCCATTAGATACAAATTACCATAAGAAAAACACTGTCGACCATTTGTTATGAGCGCTATAGGGATGCTTTCTAACAGGAGACACGCTTCATCTCTACGAGTATCCACCCATCAATAAACGTATAATAAGCAGTGGATCACATTTTTCGATTGGTTGTTCATGGCTAGCCATCCCGAAGGTCATACGATATTTAAGATGTTAGTTTTCCTTCAAATGGATCGCAACTGTATTTCCCATGATGATGATGATGAAGTCGAAATTGATAAGGACCAAGAGGAAAAAAAAAAAAGCAGAGCAGCGTAACAGCATCAGGGATCTCCTAGCTTCACGTGTGGATTCTGTCCAAGATCAAGTTAATAAATCTAAATAGCTATATAATTAAAGGGGACAGTTTCTTTTGGCTGGAACTGAAAGAAGAAAAGCAAATCACAAATGGCCACATAACATAATTGCTTCACCATGTAACTTTTGAAATCTCTCATCTTGTCCAGTAGATGAACTTAATATACCAGTAATGAATATAGGCTGCTTTGACATGCATATAAATGTACACTGTAAGGCTAAATGTAACGTATAGGATTCGGCCTTTTTTTCAGGACACCAACGGCTGCGGAACATTTTGCAGATTAAAGGCATGGTTTCTGACTGCTAAGATCTAACTCAAGCGGATACTATATATATATATATATATATATATGTCAACAAAGTTTGGAAAGTTGAACAATACCTTTTCCCATTGAATCGAGTATTAATCTTGTCATCTGGATGGCGTCTCTCGTAACCAATGGTCACATGTAGCGTTTTAACAGAGCTAGAACCTATTCAAGAAATAACGTAATCCGCCCAACGAATAAACATATGATTATTAAAAAACTTTCAAATCTACGGAAAACGTCCTTTTATTAGCTTATACATTTCTTAGCACAGCTTCGATACGACTAATAAGCTTCAATATTGCTCGCCTGTTTTAACTAAACGTTATTTTCTTATAAAATTTGTTGTAGCAAGTCATTGCGCCTAAATAAACGAAAAATAATAAACTAATATAATAATTAGTCATGATCATCATTATAAGCCTAATTATACTGCAGACACGCGAAAAGCTGGCCATTCAACGAACTGCAAAGCGAAAACCATGCCATCATCCCAACCTTCGTTTTCTAGGAAATATCCTGATATGCCATATAGTTGTTAGTATTCGTTGAGCTGTTTTCAAGAGAGGTTGAACGTTTTTTTTGCGCGGTATAACATAAGTTCGAAGGTGTAAAACGTTCTGACGGGGTTATATAAAGTTCCCACAAAGCCCAAATTTGGAAGTTGGAAGAACTCACAAATCCCTAAAGATTTGTTTACCTTCAGTTATTATTTTTATGATGTAAGTATCAACGATCCTTTGGCATTAAAAACCTAATTGGGATGTATTTTGCTGGAGTTATTTAAAGCTTCTCCAATGTAATTATCGAACGGCACGATAACCATACAGACAGCTATTTATCTTACTACATACATATATATATATATATATATATATATATATATATATATATATAATTATTAACGAGAATAGTAACAATAATATTTTATGTTAGTTATCTTCTATTTACATACTATTTCTCCTATTTTGTTATGTTTTGGGCTATATATTTCTAGCAGCAGAGATTTGGACTACTCTCTCTGCACGCCTGTTAGTTAGTGGTTACGAAGTGAACGCACTCGAAGGAGTGCGCATCAGCTCCCCACGCTACGCCACACCAATTGGCGCCGGAAACATGTTTAGTCAATCAGATTAAGGCACAAAAGTTCTTCACCATCCATGAGAAATCCCAGGCACTACCACAGACGTGGACCAAGATCGCGAAGCTGTAGGATCTCGGCGTCGATCTGGGCATCAGTCTGAAAACAATTTTCTAAGAAGGTTTGGGAAGTGCTTTTACAGAGCGTCTGGCACACCCGACACATTTCCTCAAATGATTGAGA